GTTCCTTTATCCAAGTCATCCAAATTTCTAGCCCCAGTCCAAAGTGCTGATTCCAACCTATAAAGCCTTAAACTGCTTAGGCCTAAGATATCTCAAGGACCTCAGGGGGTCCAAGATTTCTAAGTGGGGGTGGTCACAGGAAAGCACAATTTAATACAGCCAAATTTCATTTCCATTTACTATGTTTGTCTTGGCTATGCAGTTACCTGTTACTGTTCAACGCACCTTCACAAATAAGTTGCACATTTCTCTTGTTTGCAGCCAGATTAATGCAAAAGGAAATGAGCTCCAAATCAACACGTTCATCAGGGCACTCAAACAGCATCTTCATTAACTAGCAACACATAGATTTTACAATATTAGCTTTATCAGAAGAACAAAAGTCATTAATACTAGCCAAAGCCAGTTAATCACTGCTCAAGACATGTCTCAGAAAAAAATCTCAACCAGTATTTGTCAACCTTTTAAAACTCATAACCTGCCTTCCCCAATATTTTAATCTGAAATTTGAAATACAGTGACTAAGACCAAGTCAAAGCATTTACATTTTTTTTAAAAAATCAATTTTATCTTCTCTTTTTTTAGCATTAAGGTGTCTGCGTATCGTAAGACAATGCAACAACTTGCATATTAAGAATACACTGGCAAGTAGCAATGAGCACAAACTGCAGTTTGGCAGTTCAGCCCAGTTTGGCATGGCATTCACACAGGTGTTTCACAGGCAGCATGGATTTTCCTCCTCAGCGTAATCACCCATTCATCATCAGCAGTGTGTTTCCTTCCTTTGCCTTCTTTGCATGATCCTCCTCCTCATCTGAGTGGACAAGTGTGTTGGGCAATTACACGGGGTAGGTGAGGGAAGGAAACCCACAGTGCCAGTGGAACACCTGTGCAGGCGTCAGCCAAACCGTGGTTCAAGCCCGTTTCTATGGGCAAGCCAAATCGCTCCAGAGCAATTCAGCGTTGCTGAAGCTTAATATGCAGCCTATTTTACCCTCCTGTTCAGATTAGTTCATCACATGGAAACTGCAGATTGTTTTGGTGCCAGTCTCCACACCAGCCCTTGATACGGTTTGATCTGCACTTATAGCCTGCAGTCCCCCTTCTTTTGGTCCTGCCTTCTGCCCCTCCCCAGTGCTCCTCTTAGGATTCACTGTAAAGCTGGTAAGCTGTTTAAAGTGTTACACAATACTAGGGAAAATTGGCAGTTTTTTCAAGGTCTCTATAAAGTAAAAACATATGTACATATTCCATGGAAATATAGTAGCCTACTGAAGTTCATCAGAGTTGTTTCTATTTCATATTGATTTTTATCTTTTTGTCTGGTTGTATAGACGTGATCTAACACTAAATTAGTATATCAATGTAATGATCAGGTGATCTAGCACTAAACTCAGTACTTTGTTTTAAAAAGTACTTCAGAGTGATTAGGGAGAAAGATAATAGGGTGGGTGTTCCTGCTCTACAAAACATAAAATTCCAGGTGCGGCATTACCAGTATTTTGCACAATGGCATTATAATGTTGGCTGTTTTAGTTTCAGTCCCCCTTTTAATGATACCTATCATGGAACTAGCCTTCTTCACAGCCGCCGCACACTGGG